CAAAAGGGGATCATGTGACCCTGGAACACACACATACACAGTGGCGGGACTTATCTCCGGGGGTGGGTGGGATGAGTCTGCCTACCGAGATGAGGTGGACCGGTTGCTTTCATGGTGTGGAGACAATAATTTGGTCCTCAACACCAATAAGACTAAGGAGCTTATAGTGGACGAGAGAAAGAACAGATCAGACCTCCAGCCGTTGCTTATGAATGGAGAACGAGGGGAGCAAGTGGCCAGTTTTAAGTTTCTGGGTGTTACCCTAAAAGAGGACCTGACCTGGGGGGCTCACATTGCAGCCCTGGTCAAAAAGGCCCAGCAGAGATTAGACTACCTGAGGCTTCTCAGGAAACAACAACTGGATGGAAAACTGCTGGTGAACTTCTACCGCTGAGCAATTGCTTTATTTTCGCCGATGATGTAAAGCTATTCAACACCACCGACAATACTGCTACCCTTCAAAAAGACCTCAACTATGTATCAGAATGGTCAAACAAATGGCAACTTCAAATCTCAACAAATAAATGTTCCATCTTACATATTGGCAAAAAAAATATAAAAAATCAGAAAATAAAATACAAGCTGGATAGTCAAGACCTTGTTGATGATCCAAGCTCTGTCAAGGACCTTGGAGTCCAGTCCTCTAAGTACTGGAGCCCACTGTAACTACATAGCCAAAAAGGTGTTAAGAGTTGTTAACCTAATCTTACGTAGCTTTTTCTCTGGTAATATCACACTACTAACTAGAGCATACAAAACATTTGTTAGACCAATACTGGAATACAGCTCATCAGTCTGGAACCCACATTACCTATCTGATATTAACACAGTTGAGAAAGTCCAGAAATATTTCACAAGAAGATTTTCCACTCCTCTACTCATTGCAGAATACCTTATGCCACCAGACTTGAAATTCTAGACCTAGAAAACCTAGAATTACGCCGCCTTCGGTGTGATCTAAGTATGGTATATAAAATCATACATTGCATTGTCCTACCTGTCAATGAATACTTCAGCTTCAACCACAACAACACAAGAGCACACAATAGATACAAACTCAAGGTTAATCGCACCAAACTTGATTGCAGGAAATGCGACTTCAGCCACAGAGCGGTCAATGTCTGGAATTCTCTACCTGACTCTGTGGTTTCTTCCCTAAACCCCAAAAACTTTAACCTTAGACTGTCTACTATTGACCTCACCCCTTTCCTAAGAGGTCTGAGGGGGCGTGCATAAGCGCACCAACACATCCCTGTCCTATTGTTTCTTTGATTTTTCTTATATGTATCCATGTATTCATAGCTATGTTTTTACTTATACCTATTATCTTGTAAGCAATTGACAAAAATAAATTAATAAATAAAATAATAATAATTATTTTTTTAACTTACGGCACCTCTGTATGGTTTGCCAATTGCACAGGGGCAGATAGGAAAGCACTCCAGAGGGTCAACATCATTGCCCAGAGGATCAATTGGTTGCCCTCTCCCCTCTTTGGAAGAGCTTTATAGCTCCTGCTGCCTTAAGAAAGTTCAAAACATTCCCAAAGATCCATCTCGTCCTGGGCACACACACACACACACACACACCTTTTTTTTTTTTTAACTATTACCATCTGGCAGATGGTATGGGATAATAAAAACAAGGACAAATAGGCTGAAAAACAGCTTTTATCCCAAGGCAGTAACTCTTTTGAATTCTACTGTATAGTGCAGTGTTGGTGTGGTGTTGGGGATTCTCAGTTCCATGTGTGGCGTGTGAAGGATGTGTGTTTGTGTTTATTTTCCATGGTCATGATGTGCACTGAAGATGGTGTTTGATTTCGTTGTATGAGGTGCAAGGACAATAAAGTAAACTAAACATGAAAGCATTTTAGAGATACAACCAATAAGAGGAAAACATCTGTAGCTCAGAGCTGTGGGGTCCTTAGTAACATCCTTAGCTACAGCCCTGATGATATTACTTAGTTGGATAATGTAATGTCTGCAACAAAACCACCAAGCTAAGAGAGCGCCAAAAATTCCACAGAGAAAGAAACAGGGATTAACACCAGACAAACCAGCAATACTTTAATCAAGGCACTATTAAGGGAGAAATCGCTCTCCTACCAACACAGACAAGGCAAGCCACTAGTATATGAAGAGAGAGCAAACTCCACACCTCCTACTAGCACTGATGATGTTATCTAGCTTGGTAATGAAATGTCTGCAACAAAATCACCAAGCTCAGAGAACACCAAGGAATTCACAGAAAGAGAAACTCAGATAAGCAGGGATTCACACCAGACAAATAATCAAGCAATATTCTAATCAAGGGACTATCAAGAGAAAGCCCCACACTCCCTATTGGTGGTCTAGTGGTTAGGATTCCTGGTCATCAATCCAGTCCCAGTGCAACTGAAGTTGCCCCGACTGTTAGGGAAAATACACCTAGGTATTCCATAGTAGCCTCTTAAAACCTGTGGGATCGACCCGAAAATGGGACGTGTGGAGGCCAAAAATGGGATGCAGAGGCTAAAAATGGGATGCACAGAGGCCAAAAACGGGGTGTGGCGGCTGAAAACAGTGTGCACGGAGGCAGCCATAGGCTACAGCAACCCCTGCAGCCTGAAACAGCTGATCGTTGGGAGGCCAATCCAAGCGACTATCAGCCGCTTGTGCTAATCAGGCTGTGCTGAAGCTGAAACAGGCTGTTTGCTGCAAAGGCAGATTTTTGTTTTTTCTTGTTTTCCTCCCCAAAAGCTAGGCATGTCTTTTACTTTGAAAAATATGGTACCTAGTTGGGTAATGAAACGTCTGCAAGAAAAAGCACCAAACGGAGATAAGCAGTGTGTCAAACCTGAAGCTGGTTTGGCTGCAGCCTTTTTTTTTTTTTTGCAGGGTTTTTCCTATTGGGGTTTCTTGGATGGATTCAGGTTGACACAGCTTGGAGCTGAAGGGAGGGTAGAGATAGATGGTGGTTGTAGCCAAAACAGAATAGTTCTCTTATGAGTCAGAGACATTCCAACAACTGGCTGGCCAGAGAAGGAGGGGAGACGTAACCAGGCAACCAGCCACTATCCAGATTGGACAATGTGGTTTATTGTTTTGAGAAAACAGGAAGCGTTTACTTTTTAATGTGGTGGAAAGTGCGGGAACATTCAGAGTTGGCTTTCCACCAGTTTATGCCAAGATTCAGCACTGGCTTTCTACCAGTTGATCTCCAAATAAAACTGTTCTTTGAGGAACCAATTTGGCTCGGAGTTCTGCTTGCAATGGGTGTATTACTTGGAATCTTGACACACTGGCCGCTCCTCACAGTCATAATGAAATTGACTTAATAATGACTTGAAATTCTAAAACTAGAAAACCTTGAATTACGCCGTCTTCGGTCTGACTTAAGCATGGTATATAAAATCATACATTGCAATGTCCTACCTGTCAATGAATACTTCAGCTTCAACCATAACAACACAAGAGCACACAATAGATACAAACTCAAAGTAAACCGCACCAAACTTGATTGCAGGAAATACGACTTCAGCAATAGAGTGGTCAATGTCTGGAATACTCTACCCGACTCTGTAGTTTCTTCCCCAAACCCCAAAAACTTTAACCTTAGACTGTCTACTATTGACCTCACCCCTTTCCTAAGAGGTCTGTAGGGGGCGTGCATAAGCGCACCAACGTGCCTACCGTCCCTGTCCTATTGTTTCTCTTATTCTTTTATTTTTCTTATATGTACCCATTTCATGTATTCACAACTATGTATACACTTATACTTATTATCTTGTAAACAATTGGCAAATCAAATAAATAAATAAATAAAAATAAATAAATAATGTACACGGAAGATGGTATTTAATTTCGTTGTACGAGGTGCAATGACAATAAAGTAAACGAATTCATCCAAGAGTCAAGCAATATCCTAATCAAGGAAGTACCAAGAGGAAAAAATACTCTCCCATCAATACTGACAGGACAAGCCATTAGCAGATAAACAGAGAGCAAACCCCACACCCCCTACTAGCACTCTGATGAGGTTGCCTAGCTGGGTAAGGAACCACCTGCAGGAAAACCACCAAGCTCAGAGAACAGAAGGAGAAATTCAGATAAGCAGGGATTAACCCCAGACAAATAATCAAGCAATACCCTAATCAAAGAAGCCCCAAGGGAGGAAAATACATTCCTCCACCAACACTGATAGGACAAGCCACTGCTGTATAAACAGAGAGCAAACCCCACACCCCCTACTAGCACTGACGATGTTGCCTAGTTGGGTAGTGCAACATCTGCAAGAAAACCCCACAGCCCAGAGAGCACCAAGGACTCCCACCAAGATGCAACTGATCGGAAGGGCAAAGCCTTCAGAACAAGACCCAAACAAACCAGAGCACCACGGACACTCTGCCCCCTCCCCACAATATCCAGGACCCCAATGGGCTTGGGAGGGGGGGAAGGAGAGAGCAGGGAGACCCAGAAAAGGCCAGCCACGGACAGATCCTAACTGCCACACAAAGGGCAGAGCTTCAATTAGACACCAGGGTGGCCATCTTGCCTTTTTTTGACTGCCCCTGCAGGTTTCAGGGATGAGGGGGAGGACACACCTCAGATTTGGGGAGCGGCCAGCCCTCTTGGTGCCCACGTGGCTCCTCCGTTCCACAGACGTGACTCTTGGAATGCCCAAAGGAGGTTCAAAAAGGATGACAATGGGGGCCCTGGATCTTCTGCCCACCCCAGAGAACCCCTTGCCCCATCTTGGTTCTCCCTTGCCCACCTTTTCTCCCCCAGCCCCTTTCTCTCTTTCCCACCCCCCCACCCCCACCCTGCTGTCCGTCCATCCGTCTGTCTGCCCCACAGGGGTCAAGGGGATGCAGAACTTGAAGGACCCACCTGGAACCTGTTTCTGAGTAACCATGCAAACAGAAGAAGGGTGCCCATGGCAACGGACTCCAGGAAGCCACGCCCCTCCCTCCACGGGGGTCCAGATGGGAAGACGGTCCTTCGGCCCCCAGAAGGAGCATGCAGCAGCCCAAAGTCTTCTACCCCCAGCACGAGACCTACGCCTCTCGACCCTTGGAGCGAACAGACGGGCAACAGCGCAACCGATGCTTCCCGGCGTTTGTCCTGCCCGAAAACCTTGCCTCTGTAGGTAGGCATCCCTTACTCGACCCATAGCTGGAGTGGCAGCCCTGGGGTGGGGTGGGGGGCTCATCTATGCCTTCCCAGGCTTGGACCCTCTTCTGGGAGGGCACAGTGCCCCATTGCAACTTCCTGGACCCAGATGGACCTCACGGACATCCCCAGGGAGCCCATGGGATGTTGCCCAAGGAAAGGGATGAATCAGTCTTATGGGTCAACAACCCCCCCCTCCTGGGTTCATTCTTGGTGGGGCATCCTGGCTTTCCTACCCCCTTGAAAGGACAGGGCTGCAACCCCCCTCTTTCACTGCTTGAAACCCCCCCTCCGAGGGGATGACTGGACAGATGAAATTCTCAGCTGGGACAGGGGTGGTAGATTTTCACCATTTCTGCCAAGAAGGGACCCTTGCGACCCCTTGCACTCAAAATCAACCTCTCTTGAAATGCCCTGATGGGATGGGGGTTGAAGACGCCCCTTCGCCCCCCCCCCCCCGTAGCTGGTTTCCTACCACCCCTTTTCCTCCTCCCAGCAATTCTTCAACCTTGGAAGGAGATACAAAACTTCTTGCAAACTTCTGCAGGGGTGAAGTTGATGCAGCTTTCTGCTCCATTCCCCCACCCACCCACCCCCAATGGTTTCACCCAAACTTAAACCACCATCTGGCACAAATAGGAGGCCAACGGGTGGGAAAGGCACTTTAGAAGGCAAGGTCAAGCTAAACCAGGATTGGCGGCCCCTAAAAGCCGGCGGCCACACTTTCATCCGAACTCTACGCTGTTCAAAATGGGAAGCCAGAGTATAAAAACAGCAGCCAGAAGTGGTAAATGGGGGGAAGCCACCACTCCTGGCTTAATCAGCGAACCCTGGAAAGTGGCTGAATCGTCTTTGTGTTGTCATTACAGGAACACCCAGTTTGTACCACCCGCCCAGTCAAGACCTTTGCGCAGCGCCCCCAGCAGGTAAATATTCTGTGGTGCCGTAGAAAGGAGCCATTGTGGCAGAGTGGCCTTTGTGCAACACCAGGATGCTGGCTTGTCCCTTCTGTGCTCGCCGTTGCGGTTCACATCTCATCTCCAAAGAGTTTTCATCCACCGCAGATGCAACCCGTTGGTGCAATATTTTATGGGGATGGTGGAGCAGGGGAGGGTTAAGGGAAACCGGAGTTATTTAAAAATAAAAGTTCTTGGGAGGAAAATTGTAGAAACTGGACAGGCATCTTGCAGGGGTCCTGGGGGATGGGTGGGAATTACCCTCCCCATTCTGAAGGTAGAGCTCCCCCCTCCCCGTCCAGGGGAAAAGACCAGGACTGGACATTGTGGTGTCCATCAATGTTCCTCTAATGCTCAAGATGATTGATTCATGTTGCAATTACCTTTTCTCTCTCTCATCTATCATTCTCTCATCTATCTATGTGTCAAATATCTATCATCATTCCCTCTAGTTTCATCATCCATCCATCTCTCTCTCTCTCCCTCTCTCTCTCTCTCTCTCTGTCAATCGATCATCTCTCCCTCTCTCATCTCTCATTCCCTCTATCTTCATCATATCTAATCTATCCCCTATCAATTCTCCTCTCTCTCATCTATCATTTTCTCTTTATCTTCATCCTATCTCTCTCTCTCTCTCATCTCTCATTCTCTTTATCTTCATCATATCTAATCTATCATCTGTCTATCGTCTCTCCTCTCTCTCCTCTCATCTATCATTCTCTTATTTCTCTCTTTCTCATCTATCTAATAGATCATCTGCCACGTCTCTCTCCTCTCTCTGTCTCTCTCTCTCTCTCTCTTCATCCTATCCATCATCTACCTACCTACCTACCATCTATCACCTGCCTACCTCGGCCTCCTGCGTCTGTCCCTCTTCCTGGCCTATGCAGTGCAGGAGGTGGGAATGGGGCTCCTTGCATGTAAAGCATCCGTGTATGGGCACCTGCTTCGGCTGGGCAAGGCCTTCTTCCCCGGACTTCAGGGCATCTCTGGCACAAGGAAAGCCATTTTGGACGCTTCCCAACCAACGGCGTTGCCCATCACATCCCGGCTGGGCTTAGGCCCCGGACTGGTTCCTCCCCTCCAGCTGTTCCTGACCTTTCGCCCTTCGTTGCAGGCTTCCACATGGCGCCCTGCGGCTGCTTCTTCGACCCCCGAATCTACCGCATCGAATGGGCCACGGCCAACTTCGTCCAGCCCTCAATGTACAAACTGTCCGGCGGGCCCAACCCCCAAAACTCGTATCTTCTGGACAACCAGAAGTATCTCAAGGGCTCCGTCCAGCCGCTGCCCTACGCCCCCTACCAACCCGTGGCCGGCAACCCCCTGTTTGCCATGCCCTTCTTCAAACCCGAGGGCTCCCCCGCCAAGCTGACTGACCACATCGGCTTTGTGGCCAACCTGGCCCATGGCTCCCCGTTTGTGGAGGTGCCCCGTCTGCCCGGCGAGAGCCTGATGCCCGTGGAAGACCACAAACTGTTGGCCGTGGTCCAGAGTTCGAGTCTCAAGGACCCGCAGCAGCATCCCAGCCAGATGGGCCCCTACCAACCTCTTGACCCCAGGCCCGGCCTAGCTTTCCCCGTCTTCAAGGGCTTCCCGGTGGAGGAAGCCGACTTCAAGGTCAGCGAGGTGCCCCTGGGGATGGGGGAGCTCCCCCTGAGCCCTGGCATCCACCCTGAAGAGCCAGTCCCCTGCGGGGGGATGGAACAGCTGGAGCCTTGCGTGAACCTGGAGGGGATTCTTCCCCGGGAGACGTCCTTGATGGAGGAGCCAGGCGGGGCCTTTCAGCTGCTGGACCAGGTCCCCCTGGAAGATGCCATGAAGCTGTTTGACTGCTCGCCCATCCATTCGGACACCGAGGCCCCCCTGGATGACCTGGGAGGCGGAGGGCAGGCGGCTCTTCCAGGGGAGGCTGTGGTGCAGGAGGGCTGCTTCTCCGGCGGCGAGGACTCATCCAGCGACATCCGGTCCCTCAACCTGCCGGACGAGCTGCTCTCCTTTGACTACAGCGTGCCGGAGATCCTCAGCGCCGTGACCAGTTTGGATTATCTCTACGACGTGAACTCCTTCGGGGAGGAGATCCCGTGGGAAGGCAGGCTGGGCTCTCCGCTGCCTCTCCCGAGACTCCTCGGGTCTCCCGCGGGCCTGGAGGAGAAGAGGAGGAACCTGGGACCCGCCAACAGAGCCAGGAAGCCCGAATGGGCCTGCATTCAGGGGGGCGACAGGGAGACCCCGGACTCTGCCCTGCTGGCCCTCTGAGACGGGGCAACCTGGGACGTATCTTTGATCGCAGAGAGTTGGATTCAGATGGATCTGGCGCATTAAAAAAAAAAAAGGGAGCGTATCCTGATACGCAGCAGCGGCCCCTGCAATGCGTGTGGCTCCTTTTCTGTCGTCCGGATTCGGCTTCATGGGAACCTGGGTGAACTGTGGCAATTGTAGTTGCCCTGGAATCCTGAAGTTGGAGTGATCTCTCTCTCCCCCCCCCCAATTCCCTGAGGACATCTAGTCCAACCCCTGGATTGGTGCAGGGGTCCAAGCGGAAGGGTCCCCGGGAGGGAGGGAAATTTGCCCATCTGGGAAAAGGGATATTTATTATGCAGAGGAAATTGGAAAGAATGTGTGGTGGGTCCGCCTTTAAATCCGCGAATGCCACAGGTGGGGGGGCTTGACTGGCTCTGCCAGGGTGGGAGTTAAACCCAGGTGGGAGTGGGAGGGCAGCACTGTGCTTTAATATACTGGGCTTGTTTAATTTCCTGTGTTGCTGATGTGAGCCATCCAGCAATATTATAAAAGTTCCTTCCTTCCTTCCTTCCTTCCTTCCTTCCTTCCATCCAACCTTCCTTCCTTCCTTCCTTCCTTCCATCCAACCTTCCTTCCTTCCTTCCTTTCCTTCCTTCCACCCAACCTTCCTTCCTTCCAACCTTCCTTCCTTCCACCCAACCTTCCTTCCTTCCTTCCTTCCTTCCTTCC